TGCAGGGTCTCATAGTGGAGCATTTGTCCACCATACACAAGTCCTGGGTCCTGTCTCCACCACCTAAGATAGACAGACAGACAGACAGATAAGCAGTCTTTACTCCTGCTCTCCTGAGCATCTAGCGTATGTCAGCCAGGCACTGGGGCAGGGGAGATGGTGGTAACGAGGTAGATTTGATCATGTACTAGTGCAACTGAAGAAAATGCTAGGGAGAGGAGCCTGAGGGCTTGCCTTTTCATTTTCTTTTTTACTGTATGTATGGGTGTTTTCCTGCATGTATGTCTGTGTCCCATATATGTTCGGTGCCCACAGAAGCCAGAGAAGGTGAGGGACCCCTGTCACTAGAGTTACAGACTGCTGTCAGTGGCCATGTGGGTGCTAGGAACTGCACCCAGGTCATCGGGAAGAGCAGCCAGTGCTCTTAACCACTGATCCATCTCTCTGGGTAATTACCTGGAGATGACACTTCAGCTAAGTCATGCAGAAATCCATGGAAGGAAAAGGTATTCTAGGCCATCCGTGGTTTGTGCAAAGGTCCTGTTTACAGAACAGGTCCACGGAGAATGAGGGAATCAAAACAGTGGGGAGGCAGCCAGACTATGTCTGAGTCCCGAAGCACTTGTGGTCCCCAAATGGGGGTCCCCCTCAGTTGATATTCTGGGCCATTATTGTTCTTGGTGAGCTAAGAAGGGCTTCTTACATCCTCTTTACAGTGAAGAGGATGATGAACTTGTAATAGAGCTGTTCCACAAAGCCCACAGAAATTCCTATCTTGCTTTTCGGGGCAGGGGGGTAACCAAACCTGGGCTCAGAGCCATAGAATATACTTCTCAACTGGGCAATTCTGCCTTGGGGTCAGTCTGGAGAGGCTACTGAGTGCAGCGCAGCGGTGGGGGGGGGGGTTGCTGCTGCCATTGGGTAGGGGTAGCCCTAAGGTGTCGTTAGGCACCCTACAGATTGCCCAGCAGTCTCATAAAAAAAACACCATGAAGAGCTTGTGGGTTCCCAAGCCTGTCATCCCAGCACTCAGGAAGCTGAGGCAAGAGAGTGGAAGGTGTGTACCCAGCCTGGCACACACCGGGAGGAGAGAGAGGGCGCCCGAGAGAGCAAGAGCTAGCATGCACATCAGGATCCAACATCGGGGGCACCACTGGGCCACCAGTGGCCCACAGTCCACTTGTGACTTTTAAGCTATGTTTTAGCTTCTGTGTGTGTGTGGGGGGGGTCACTGTTTATTTTTAGCTGGGGGGGGGTTGCTGAACTATTTTTAGTCTTCAATTTATTGACTGAATTGTTATCTCCCCCCCACACTTTGGAGTAGGAGGTGAACAAGACATAGAATTCTGGTTACTAGCTCCCCAAGGCCCAGAGAAACCGAAATCATGTGGAGGGCCCCATCTCAGGGAGAAGTAGGGTCAGTGCCCAAGGGACCTTGGGAGCAACTGCTCAGACCTTGACTCAGGGGCTCCCAGCCCCCTGGGGAGGGTAAGTATTCCTTGAATTGCCACTCCAGGACCTAACCCCTGTAGCACACAGTAATTTGGAGCCATGTTCCCACAAAGACAACCTCACACACAAAGGTACCTGTGAGTACCGCGAGACTGTCCCCAGGTGGGCACAGGCATGCAAAGAACGTAGCATAGCTAACCCAGCCCAGGCCTTACTTCTGAAAAGGAGGCCAGGTCAAAGCTATCACACAGGGTTCCTCTCCAGCTCTAAGGAAACGACCCTCCTGTTCAGTCAAGAGTGCCAGCCCGCCTGCCTCACTCCCTCCTTCCTCCCTCAGTTTAGAAACCTCATCTTTATTATTTGTAATCATGTTTATGTGTAGGGGGCGGGGGACAGCATGAGTGAAGGTGCTCGTGAATGCTAGAGATGTCAGGTCCCTTGGAGCTATGAACTGATGTGGGTGCTGGAAACTGAATTCTGGTCCTTGACAAGAGCAGCACATTCTTTTAATCTCTGAGCCACCTCTCTCTCTCTCTCTCTCTCTCTCTCTCTCTCTCTCTCTCTCTTTAAATTATTAAAATGTCTCCCTCTGCAGCCTAGCTTGGCCTTGAATTCATGCTCAGCCCTCCGAGTCTTGGGAGGGTAGGCTGGTACCATCCCATGCAGCTCAGCCAAGAGTTCCTCCAGGGCCCCCGAGCTCCAAGAGCACACCTAGCAACAAGATCCCCAACTTCTGAATCTTACTCAGGCAGACAGACAGTAAACAGACAGGCGCAATAAATCAGGAAATTACAGAGGTGTGAAAGCCACAGGCTCCACAGAAAGCCAGGAGTGCTGTGGGAGCTGCAGTTCGAAGCCTAGTGCATGGGCCATGTCCTGGATGGAACTGCCTTTGAGAAGGTGGGATTTCCAAGAGCATGGTAGATGTGAAGGAGTGGGGTGAGAGGCGGTGACATCACGTTCTACACCGAGGTGCAGCCTGAGGGGTGAGGGTCTCTGTGTGCAGTCTAGGGCCATCCTCCCTAGAATGAACACACACACACACACACACACACACACACACACACACACACGAGCACACCTTCTCTTTGTCAGGCTGTGAGCCAAGGGAACAGAAGTGGCCACCGTCACAGTGGCCTCACACCTGACACCCAGCAGAAAAAACACTTGTATTTGCAGCTTGCTTGGAGAGGAGCGCCAATCCTGCTTGCTCCAAGCAGTTCTGGGACACACAGCTGAGCCTACACTAGTAGGTGTGGGCAAAGGAGAGCCCTCCTGTCCTGTGCACACAGAGGGCTGCCCCAGAGTCACCCCTCAGCAAAACTCACCAAGGAATGCATCATTCGGACCCACAGGGGCAAGTAGCTACACACCCAGATGCAGGCAGAAGTGGAAACCAGCGGGATGTGGAGAGCCCCCACCCCAACCCCAGGACCCCAATTTCTGTATTCAGTAGCAACCATTTGGTTCCATCCCAGGCAGAGAGGCATGCTGTCTTGCTGGGCACCTTCAGCTCACCAGGGAACCCCCACCTTGGTCAGCCCCTCCCCCAGTATCCCCACAGAGGAGCTGGAGGAGGGGAAGTGTCTGGCAACTGGAAATCTGATCCCTGAGAGCAGCCCACACAGAAGCCAGAGCTTTCAGTGTCCTTGGCCACGTCTGGCTGGAGAACCGGCAGAGGGCCGGAACAGAGACCAGAAGCTTCCCCGTCTGCAGTGGAAGGTGGCTCCCACTCCTACAACACTTTAGGGGTATACACTCCAGGGGTTCTCCTGTTAGATGCCCAAGCCGAGGCTGATGCACCAAAGGGTCTCTGGCCAGCCTGGTGGGACAGCCGACACACAGACACAAGAGACACAGGCGGCAGACGGTCCCACGTGCAGGTGGAAACCAGAGGGCCTGATGCAAACAGACTCCGCCTGGACCAGGCGTCCGCGGCTCCTCCCCCCTCGTGGGGCTTCCAGAGCGCCCCCTAGGAGAAGGGGGTTCCCCAGGGCAGGCTGGGAATAGAAGCCTAGCTTCGCGTCTCCGGCCTCCCACCTCCACCTCCCACCTCCTCCTCCCGGGCTCAGTGGCCCAGGTGCACTGGTCTCCAGCTCCCCACCCTCCCCCAACTCTGGGGGCTATCTCCACACCTAAGGGTGTCCAGCGGCACACGTGATAGTGGAGTATGCCAGTCCCCACAAACAGGAGTCAGGGAGCACGTCAGAAGGCAGAGCAACAGGGTGGCCCAAGCCAGAGGAGGGAGATGGTGGCATACCAGCAGGAGGGCCAGTACCCACACATCCACTTCCGTGGCTGTGGCTCGGTGCAAAGGTGCCACGCCGCCAGCCATGGGATTAGTTCCCCTTTCCGCCTTCCAGATGAGTTTTCATCTCTGTAATTAATGGGCAAGTCATATCTGAACGGCGTGGCAGACAAATTGCTAGTTAGGAAAATCACAGATAATTTTCTCGATATGATAATGAAGGTTGTATTCTGTCTCTTATTTTCCCTGTTTTCATCCTACTTTTAAGTAATAAATTCGGCACTAATGGGCAGCGTGTGGAGAAGAAGTCATCTGTCCCCAAAGCTGGGACCTGTCCTGGCCGGCCTCCCCTAACACACACACACCAAGGTCCCCAGCGCCTGACTGTGGGCAGATGGAGAAGAGGATGCTAGGGGGACCCTCAATGGAACACTCTGACATTCCATGATTGATGGGGTAGTACAGGGTCTAGGAAGCCGGTGGAGCACAAGGAGCCGTCAGGTTGGGGGCCAGAATGGAGTTGGACTTCGGGTCATTCCTGCCCTTGGGGTGCAGGAGAGAGAAACAGGTACCGATGGCTCTCTCAGCAGCACTGGAGGTCAACAGGCCCAGAATAGACATCCACCCTCAGGTGTCCTCCACACCTATCCCCACACCATCCACCTCCCTCTCCACGGTAACCCCTCACTATCGGAGGCATGAGGGTAAGCAGAGACAGGGGGAGACAGACAGAGATAAAGAGGCTGCCAGCCATCTTGGCGGCCATCTTGAACCCCTCCCCCAACTCCCCCAAACGCACCACATGTTTGGATATGGGAAGACAAACCCTGGCTCTGGGTCCCACAGAGGCTGGGAAAGAAGGGGGATCTGGTTCACACTGGGACAGGAGGGACACCCACGAAGATGCCGAGGCTGAGAAGGCGGGGTGAGGGGACCAGGAGGGTACAGTATATAAGATGCTGGGCAAGGATAGGGCTGGGAGCTGACCTAGACGAGAAGTGTAGGGGCTGGATGTGGGAGCTTAGGGGCTGTTTGCCGGCGGGGTGCCGTCTTCACATCGGTGCCTGGGGCGCACTGAAGTGATGCCATTGAGGGCATTTTCTGGCCACTGCTGGAGTACACACGACCCTCCCACCACACACACATACACACACACACACACACACACACACACACACACACACACACACGAACTGGACTTTCAGCCCAGGACCCTCAAACTGGACGATGACAGCTGAACCACACAGCTCTATTTCAGGAACACCTGGAAGAGGGGAGAGCTCGTTTCGGTAGATCTAACCTGACAGCCTCCATCGGTGCTTAACCGGGTGCCGCACGCCTGCACCCGGTCCTGCCCACGGCGCCCCTCCGGGCTGAAACCCTCGCGACACCCAGACAGCCCGCTCCCCATCCCCCCGCGCCATGCCTCCCAGAGAAAAACAACCCTAAACCCAGCATCCTGCGGTGCCGGCCCCCCGACATGGCTTCTCTTGGGAGCCGGGGCCCGCGCGCCGCGCGCACACGCACCCTCTCCACTCACACCCAGACACCTACACAAACAGGGCGCCAAGCACCCGCGCGCACACGCACCGGGGACACGCAGGCACCGCCGCGCCGCTTCCCCACAAAGGCCGGCGCGCGCGCGGGCACACGCAGCCACGCGCGGGCACACTCGCGGTCCCCTCCCCCTGCAGGGCACCCTGCGGCCGCCCATCCGCACCCAAACCGAGCCCCCGGCGGGCGGGGGTAGGGGGCCTCCCCCGCCCCTCTCGCCGCGCACACCTGGCCCAGGTGCGGCGTGGCCTGCGACTCCCGCACACTCACCTGTCCAGCGGCGCTTCGGGGTCGGCCGTGCGCGCTCCTCCGGCGGCTCCGCGAAGCCGGGCCCCCCGCCCGGCACATCTCCCGGAGCCCGGCCCAGGGGGAAGCGGGGAGGGGGTGGCTGAGCGAGGGCGGCCTCCGTGTCCCTTCCTTCCTCGGGCCCAGCACTGCCGCCACCGACCAAAATTTAAAAGGGGGGGAAAAAGGGAGGAAAAAAAAAGAAAGAGAGAGAGAGAGAGAGAGAGAGAGAGAGAGAGAGAGAGAGGAAAGAAAAGGCGGATCGCGGCGCTCCGGAGGCGGCCCCGGCCCCGGGCGCGCGGGTCTGCGCCCCTCCCGGGGAGCGAGGCGTGGAGGCGGAGGGGCGGGGGCGGCGTCAGAGCTCGGGGGGCTGGGGCGAGGCGGAGCCCCCCGAGGCGGCGCCGGCTGCCCGCATCTCCCCCGCAGCTCCGAGGCCCCGACGGAGGCGGCACGTGTGTGCCCAGGCGACTTCCCAGCGCCCCCGGACGGCAGCGGGCGAAGGGTTAACGCGGCAGCCCGGGCGGCCCCGCAGGCCCCCGCCGCCCGGCGGCGCCGCTCCCGGGCCCGCGCGGCCCCATCCGCCGGGGCGTCTCCGGCAGACGGCGGGGCGGGGGCGCCGCAGCGCCGGCTGCTCCCGCGCCGACCGCTCGCGCTGCCCGCGGGGGGCCGGGGCTAGGCGGCTGGAGGCAGGCGCGGCGGCGTCGCGCCCCCGGGGTGGCCGGAGCAGGGGGCGCGGGGCCGGGCCCGTGGGCACCGCAGGACGCGCCGAGCGAGCGGGCGCGGGGCACCAGCAATGACAAGCCGCCTGCTCTCGGCGCTCCCCGGCCCGCCGGCTCCGGGAGGGGGGCGGCGGGCAAGCGCAAAAACCTGGCCTGGACTACACGCCCGGGACTGGCCTCCGCAGACCTCCCGTGCTCCCCAGCGACGGGCTCGGAAACCCGGCCTGGAGTTCCACTCGCCTCCCCCAAGGAAAAGTGGGCAGAGGGAGGCGACGCGCTAGATCCCCTAGTTGGGCCAGGGGGTGGTGGGGTGCGACGGGCAGCAGGAAGAACCGGAACGGATTCTACTGCCGTGCTGTGCAGAAAGCGCCTAACTGGTGGAGGGGTAAATGGGGAGCTGTGCAAGGACTGCGCAAAACCTGGCCCAGATTAGGCGGAGCGGGCAGGGACGGCGGGGAGGGGGGCGCTTGTGGGAGCTGCGACAAGGCCAGATGCACCCGAAGCACGCAAATTTCGGGCCGGATTCTTCCCGGGGAGACGGAGTAATGCGTCAAGCCTGTGCAGTGGTAGCAAGCAAGACCTGGACCAGAGCTCTCCGACCCGGGCTTGCAGGAGGGTCGGAGGGGGTGCTGCTTAGTGACTGACAACAGCGTAGGCTGTCCCCCATCATCCTGACAGCGACGTGCGATAGGGAGGGGCAAAATGAGGGCTGGACTGAGGTATGGAGGGATCCCGCGCGCTGGCTGCAACGGAGCCTGCAGGTAAAAGCGGTTTCTGGATCCTAGGTGATGCTACAGGAAGGGGATGTGGTGTAGATCCCGCTACCCTGGGAGACCAGACCTACAATAAAAAGCGAGAGAGGGACGCAAAGCCAGGACTGGAGTATAGGCGGGATGGGATGAGGCACCCCCCCACCCCCCACCCCAGCAGAAGAGAGCCTTGGCAACCGGACAGGGGCCTGGAGCTGACCAGGCTGCTGGAGCGGAGGAGAGGTTAGTATCTATAAACGCCTCAAGCGTCTGGCTTTGGAGGGGGTGGGTAAAGAAGAAAAAAAATTGAATTTTAGGATTCTGGCGGGAGCAAAAGCCCGGTGCAGATTTTCACAACCTAAGAACTACACGGCAGCTGATGGACTGAAGAAGTAGGGCAGCGGACCGAGCTTGGATTCTAGATCTCGGACTCAGTGAGTGAGGCCGGAGGCTGCGTTCAGGCCCCGGCTGCAGATGAAGCCTCGGATTCCCTCTCAGGATGGGGAAGGCCGTCGACCTGGCCAAATCCCTGGAGCCAAAGCTATCATTGCCAAGACCCACAGTGGGGGCTATAAAACCGGGCCTCGTGCCAAAAACCGGCACTTCAGCAGTATAGGCAAGTCAGTGCAGGGTGGGGGCTGGGGAAGGGGGAGTCCTGAGGGCTAAGAGCGCAGCTTGGAAGCTGCCGCGCTGCGAATTCGTTTTACGAAAGATGGGTGCAACTCTTAAGATTGATGGCTGGGGAGGAGCAAAACCGGGGCTTGGATTCTTGGGGAATGGAGTCCACCCAAATGCAGCCTAAATATCGAATCAGGTAGCTTATTCGAGTTCAAAGTCCGGCTGAATTTTAGCACTCTGAAGCCTTAGGAGGGCAGATAAACTCTGATGTGGATTTTTAGAGAAAGGGACGTGTTGGGGTTAGAGCAGGGGATAAAAGTCCATCTCTGTGTCCAAGGAAGGCGACGCATTGCTGACCAAGCTGTCTGCTGAGTGGATGAACGTCAGAAAAGGCTTTGAAAGTAGACGGGATTGAAGCGGTCACTACACAGAACTTGGGTGGGTTTTGAATAGGAACAAAGATTATCTACGAAAGCCTGAATGCATATGGTAGGCCCTTAACCTGGCTTCCAAAACTCCCTTCTAAGCAGCACGTGCTGCTGGCGGAGTCCGGTGGGAGGCACGGCAACAGTAGATGTCAAGGAGGGCTGGGTAGAACTAGGAGCTACCCGTGTAATTCTCGTTCCTACTTCTTTAAAAACACACCTTTCCTCCAGGACTGGGGGTTCTTGGCTCTTCAAAACCTAAAATCTGTGGTCCCCAAACTTCAGGTAGGAGTACTTAGGTACCCCGCCCCAAGACTCCATGTTTCAAGAACATCAGCCATGAGCCTAAGTGACCAGGCCCTGGGAACTGAATCCAGGGAACCAGAGACACATCTTGAGTGCAGAAAGGTGTGACTGACTGATGGTTATGGTCAGAGAGGAGGGTCCCATCTCTCTGTGCCTCAGTTTCCCACTTTGACATACTAACGAACCCCTGAAAAGCTTGCTGTTCTCACATCTGAGTGCGCGTGGTGTGTGTGTGTGTGTGTGTGTGTGTGTGTGTGTGTGTGTGTGTGTGTGTAGCACTGGGGCTAGTGTTCAGTGGCCTAGCATGTGTAAGGCCCTGGGTTCCACCTCTAGCCCAAAGGGCTTCCCATTTCTCCCAGCAGCCCACCCATCTCTACTGCAAAGCAATCCAGGAGGTATTTCGAACTAGCACTCTCCGTTATGAGGAAAAGTCGTGCCATATTTTTTTTTAAGGACCAAGGCTCAGTTTGGAAAAATGCTGGCAGGCTGGCCCTTCCCCCTCCAGCTTTCCGGACCCCTTCTCTCCCCCAATGCTGGTGGGCAGTGGTGCGCCCCTGGTGGCAGCCGGATTGGCTTGCCAGCCTCCTTCCTATGAGTGACTCTTGGGCTCTTGGGCAGAGGGCTCACAAGGCAAAGGATGCAAGGAGGCTGTGAACGCGAAGAGTCACCCCCACACCCCGACTCTCTGCCCGCGCAGTCGCAATGGAGGCTGCGCTGGCAGCCGGGCTCCGGGAACCAAAGCTTCTGCGCGCGCGCAGACTCGCCCCTGCGGGCGCCACTAACCCCTAACTCCTTAGTGGTACCCAAGGCCCTGACACAGTACACTTGGCTTCTAACATCCTGCCTTTCGCTTCGGGACGCTATGCAGAGTGACCACGTGGTTCGTTCCTTGACACTACATTCTGTACATCTAGTCCCATTGGATTTTTATGCACAGGCTGTCCCTTGTCTTGGTTACCTCTGAGTTTACAAGGCACGACACTTCATCTTTTGAGCACCATGTTCTAGAGGGCACCTATGCCCAGAGTGTCCCAGCATGAAGGTACCCTATATTTTCCGACATCTTTAGGATCCCATATTCTGAACGTCTAGAACATTAGACACCCCAGTCCTAGGCGTTATGGTACCCTCCTTGGGCCATCATGTGGCGCCTACAGGCTCAGTGAACTCTTGTCCCCAGCGCTCCCTATTTGCTTGTCTCAGGCCCGCCACCTTCCAGTGGTGGGGGTGGGGTTGCTGCACCTGCTAGAGTGAGTGGACCTGTCATGAGAGCTGGGTGCGCTCCTGCTGCCCCTGGGAGCTCCCTATACCGGGTCCCTTGAGCAATTTCTGAGCTCCATCCCATACCACACTCAGTACCCACTCAAGTGAATAGCATGATAAAGACCTCACAGAGTGCCGGGCAGTTGTGGACACATCTTTAACCCCGGAACTCAGGTAGTTCAATGGCAGCGAACAAATACAAGGTCCTGCAAAGGCATAAAAGATAAATGATGCAAGAATAAAAGTGCCACCGAGGAAAGGACGGAAAACGGACACCGAAGAGGTGGCAGGTTTCGCGGTGCTGGAGTGGGATCTGAGGCTTCATTAGACAAACACTCTCCCATAACCCCAGCGCTGGAATCTTTAGTTGGGGGAGGTCCCTGAAGCTCTCTCTGAGAAGATGGAGTTTGAACAAAGATCTAAGAAAAGGGAGGAGCCACAGGGTTGGGGTGGGAATATGAGGAAGTCACTCCAGGCAGAGCAAACAGCCTTTTCCCGGGACCTGAGGCAGGGGCATTGAACAGATCAGTGAAAGGGAGGGGGAGGGGCAAGAGGGAGGAGGTAATGGGTTTTGTGCTGGTTTAGTGAGCTGTGCTCTGGGAAGTCGTTGAGAGAGAAAAGGTAGGGTGATAACTGACTGAGGTGTTCACAGGTCCTGCTGGTCACCGTGGGGGAAGGGTATGGGGTCAAGAGCAGAGCCAGAGACTGCAGAAACTACTCTGATAGTCCAGGCTCCATGCTGATAGGGGGACCCTGATGGTGGCGATGGAGATGGTGAGGAAGACCTGAGGGCTGGGGTACAGAGCACCTGCCTAAAATCCCTCGGTGAGGGGCTAGGAATCTAAGTCGGTATCAGAGTATACTGGCTTAGACTCTCCCAGGGAGGGGCTGGGTAGGGCACTTGCTGTGGCCCTATCTGTTGAAATGATCCCATCCCCAGAACAGCAAGAAAATGGAGCAGATGACTTGGAAATGGAGGACAGAGCACACTGGAGTGCGGCTGAGCTCGGGAAGGTGCAGAAGGGACACTTGGAGGTTAGACTCAAGATTTCCATCTGATCCACCGACGAGCAAGCGTCAACAGCAAGTCAGCCCCGGGGCTCAGCACAGGTAACCTACACTGTGCTGTAGACAAGACAAGACCGAGGAGACGCTGCCTTCCCCGTCTCACGGAACCGAGAGCAATTGCAGGATCAGAGTCAAGCTGGGTGAGATGGCACACGTCACCTCAGCACTCTGGAGGTTGAGGCAGGAGAAATGCCATGAGTTCGAAGCCATGCAGTGTTACAGTACATGATTCCATTGATGCGAAATGTCAAAAAATGGAGACAGATGGGTGGTGGCCAGGGAACGGGGAAGGGAGAGACAGTGGAAGCTAATAGGCAGGGTTTTCATTTGGGGGGAGGTTGGTAGAAACACTGTGGACCTAGACACATGTCCCAAACTCTGGGTTGTCGATTTGGGAGTGGTTTTAGCACTTAATTTTACATAATGATATGTTAGCTCCAATTTTAAACAATTATAGGAGAGGGGCAGCGAGATGGCTCAGCAGGTAAAGGCACTTGCTGCCAAACATGATGACCTGAGTTCGATTCCTGGGACCCACACAGAAGAAGGAGAAAATCAACGTCCAAAGTTGTCCTCTGAACTACACACACACACACACACACACACACACACACACACACACACACACACACTAAATGCAAATTTAAAAAAATTATAGGGGTGACTTGAGAGAGATGGGGAGAGTGGGAAGGTGGTCATCAGATGAGAGGCTGGTGAATGAGGCTGGCATAGCATTTATGGGGAAGGTGGTAGGGTTCAGGAGATGCTGTAGAGACAGAGTCAATGGTACCCTTAACCTTTGCACCTCCACGGCGCCTAGCACCCCATCCTTCTAATTTCTGAGCCCTTCCCCACAGCATTTTCCACCTTAGAGTGTTCTTGTCTGCTGTGTGTCCTCCACAGGCACCTGTGTTAAATCTTGGTCCCCTACTTGGTGCTGTTGGGAGGTGCTGCGTACCTCTTTAGGAGATGAAGCTTTGCTAGAGGTCTTTGAGTCACAAAGTGTCTTTGTTACTGTTACTGTAATCAGACATCACATCCAAGGCAACTTACAAAAGAAAGAGTGTATTTGGAGCTTTGGGTTCCAGAGGGTTGGAGATCACGGCCAGCATGGTGGGGAGCATGGCAGCAGGCAGGCCTGGTGCTGGAGCAGTAGCTGAGAGTTCACATCTGAGACACAAGCTCAAGGAGAGAGAGCTAACTGGGAGTGGTATGGACTTTGCCCAGTGACACACCTCCTCGAACAAGTCCACACTTCCTAACCCTTCCCAAACAGTTCCACTGTTCAAGACCAAGTGTTCACACATATGAGCTTCCCGGGGCCATTCTCATTCAAACCACCACACTAAGGATGCCATTTGTAGTCGGACTTTCCTTTGGGCCACTAGTTCACAAGTAATGCCATGGAGACTTCTTATTAATTATGAAAGCTTGGCTATAGCTTAGGCTTGTTCTTACAAGTTCTTACAACTTAAATTAACCCATTTGTATTAATCTACGTTCTATCACGTGGCGTTACCTCTCTTCCATCTTGCACCTCCTGCTTCCACTCTGTGTCTCCTGGTGTCTCCTCTGCACCTCGATTATCTCCTCCTACTTTCTCTCTCTCTGCCTGGAAAGTCCCACCTATACCTTCTGCCTAGCTATCGGCCATTCAGCTCTTTATTAAACCAATCACAGCAATGTATCTTCACACAGTGTACAAATATCCCACAACAGACCCTGAAGGGAACTGCAAGGCTCTCCTCCTGTCTCCCCTGCACCTCCTGAGCAGGGAGTGAACGGTGTGTTCCCCCACGGCTCCTGCTGAGAAAGAGGTGCCACCTCACCACAGACCACACCGTTATGGAGGAGACCTCCAAAACTGTGTGCCAAAAGACATGTCTCTGGGGCTGATGTGCAGCACAGTTGGTACAGCACCTGCCTGCCACACACCAGGTTCTGTCCCCGTCACCACAAACATAAATAAGTGAACAACCTTTCCTCTTTATAAAGTGATTTATCTCAGGCATTTAGTCCCAGACAACCTTTTTGTTGTTGTTGTCATTATTTGAGTCAACAACTTTATGATCAGTTTACATCGTAGAAAAAAAGGGTGCAAAGAATAGATCAGGGATTACTAAAAAACAGTCCAGGTGTGTACACATCCTCTGTTTACACATGGTTGTAGGGCTGTGTCCCCAGCAGGTGCACTTCTGCAGATGCACGCCTCCGGGCAGCAGGTGCAGCAGTTTTTCTTATAGTGGGTGCATGTGAACTCTGCAACAGTGGGCACAGGAGCAACTGGAGTCTGTGGTGAGCCAAAGCCAGCGGGTGACTGGTGTCCAAAGACAGATGTTCACAGCTATGCTAGCAGGAAACCTTCACTTCTTTTCTTTCTGACACGGTCTCACGGAGCCCAGGCTGGCCTTTGACTGAATAGTTTAGAATGACCTTGGACTCCTGACTGTGACTCCCAAGTAGGAGGGCTAGGATCACAGGTAGGCTGCACCACACAAGGTCTTATACGATGCCGGGGATTGAACCTAGGCCTAGTGCATGTTGTGGAGGCTTTCCATCAACTGAGCCACATCTGCAGCCCCTTTGTGTTTTTCTTGTCTTTGATTTGTGTCTTCTGATGGATACCGGGAGGCAGGGCATGTTTATTTCATGTCCTTGGCTGTAAGACCACAGTCCAGAACGGTTCCAGGCAAGTAGTAGGCGTTTATGAGGAGGTAAGGGAGTAAGCAAGAGTTCAGTAGGCTGCTGAGCGCCGTGGTTCCAGTCAGAGCAGTAGGTAGGAGGGTAGATTGAGTTAAATGGAGAAAGGTTGAGGCGAGTGCTTCACAGGTAACCCAGTTGGTCCGCGCTTCCTTCCCCGACCACTAGGGGCCACTGCCATACTGCTCTGCGGCCACCAGGTGAGCGGCCGCCCTTCTCCCCAGGTGTGCCGGAGACACAGCCGTCTCCAGGGCCTGGAGACGGGGCAAACTGAGGTATGAGTGGGGGGTTCCGAGGGAAGGAGACTGCAGAGCTTGCCTGAGATGGGGACCGCGGAAAGAGGAAAGTGAGGGGTGGGGGGAGGAAGGAGAAAGGCCACTTGGTGTTGCAGGGGCTAGGGGGTGCGGGAGCAGAAGGGAGGCTGGAGGATGCCACCGGGACATACTTCAGAGTAGGGATCAAGAGACAGGTGAACAGGTGAGAAGGAAGAAGGGTCCTGGAGGGGTGACCTTGAATGCTTTGCTGGGGGTGATTTGGGTGGGGCCTGTGGCCAGCCGAGGTAGATGACAGGGTGCAGGGCTGTAGGGGGGTGAGCAGACCCAGGGAAGGTGATGAAGATAGACTACCTGGTGTGTGTGTGTGTGTGTGTGTGTGTGTGTGTGTGTGTGTGTGTGTGTGTGTTCACTGGTGACAGAAAACATTGGTGAGCCACGGGAGGCAAGGCAAAGGTGGAAGTCAGATGGAGACTTGGGGAGGGCACAGGGCCCCCATAACCAGAGGGTTCCCAGGCTATCTCACACTAGGATGAGTGATGGGGAGGCTGGGGGCTGAGGAAAGAGAGCTCTTCTGGTCTTGGAAGAGAAGAATCTCACTGCAGAGGTCTGAGGGTGCTGCCAAGGAAGGAATAGGCAGATCCAGGCTGTAGTAGGCGGCAGGGAGTGGTGCGGTCTGAGGCAGCATGGAAGGGCCTAATAGGACTGAAGGGGCCCGTGTGTGAGGAAGAGAGATATGAGGACAGAGAGAGGTCGATGGAGGTGGAAGCTGTAGCTCCAGGGAATAGGTGATTCCTAATCGTGTCCAGGCCCGTTGAAGGAGTTAGAAAGCCAGTACTGACCCAGGAATGAACGGGACAGGACTCGACGGAGACACTGGGGAAGGAGGACAACAGTTGAACTGAAGCCACACCTCCCTCTGAAGCCCAGTCACTGCAGCTCCAGCCGGATGCTAGGACGCGGGCACCACTCTGTTGAAAGACTGGATTCTGCGAAAGAACCAAGAAGTTAGGGTGGCTGTGTGTGTGTGTTTTCTTCTTGTTACCATAGCCAGGTTCGGACCTACAGACAGACAGATTTATGTAGGGGGTTCTGGCCCACAACCTATTAGCCATGTTGCTTTTGGGCAAAGCCAATCATGCCAGGGCAAACACATGAGGACACTCTCCTGATAACTGCAGTCTCCCCAGTGGCCCTCTTGGGGTTTTTTGTTTTGGTTTGGTTTGGTTTTTTGAGATAGGGTTTCTCTGTGTAGCCTTGGCTGTCCTAGAACTAGCTTTGTAGACTAAGCTGGCCTTGAACTCATAGAGTTCTGCCTGCCTCTGCCTCCTGAGTGCTGGGATTAAAGGTCTGTATCACCACCCGCCAGCTGAGCCCTCATTTCTTAAACATTCTACCATCTTCCTGTAGTTCAGTGAGACTTTGAATATGCACACACCCCTGCCTGCTCAGGGTATATATTGTAAGTGGCTATCCACCTGGGGCCATTGCATTGGAAGGTTCTGGAAACTTTGGGAGATGAGGTCTAGTTTGAAAAATTAGATCACTGAAGAATTGTCTTTCAGGGTTCTGCCAAGTCTCCAGACCCCCTTTCTTCCTGCTTCCTGTTTGCAATGATTTCAGCAGCTCTGCCTCAGGCTGTCAAGCCAAGGTGCCTGGGAGCACACAGCAGAGCAAATGTGGAGGGGGCCTTCCACAACTGTGAGCCAAGTAACCCTTTCCTCCCCGGGTTGCTCTCTCAGGCGTTTTCTCACAGTTACAACAAAATAATTAGTGAAAGCTCCAAGGTGGGGACCAAGCTTTTAGCACGTGGGCCCTTGGTGGGGCATTCCAGATCCCATCTGTAGTTTGTACAGAACTCCCCAGCCTCAGATCTACTGAGTAAAACCGTTATCACACAGCAGTTCCACCATGGGACTAATTCATAGTGGGGACAAAGAGCAGACATTGTATAACCCCTTTCCTGTGACATTTAAGGCCAGGCAGAAGCAATCTGGAGATAGCGCGGGCGGGCCTCAGGGTTCCCAAATGCGGCACTGTGGATGCTTATGGCGGATAGGTCTAGATACTTGCCCCGTGCACTCTGGGTCAGAAGCAGCATCCTTAGCTGCCACCTGCTAGATGCCAGCAGCATACTCCTAGTTGTGACAAGGATCTTTCACGGGTGGAGGCAAAAACACTCTCAGAGGAGAGCTCTTTGGAGAGTGAGACTTTGTATAAAATACTTCCTCTGACACAGACTTCTGGGGTTTTGAATGGTTTCTATCTTGAAGTAGATGGTGGTGATGAGTGTGAAATATTGGTTTAAAAAAAAAACAACAACTTAGAGAGACTGAGGAGATGGCTTAGTTGTTAAAGTATTTGTCACATAATCATGAGGACCTGAGTTTGAAGCCTGCACTTGTGAAAAGCTGGACCCCAGTGTGTTCCTGTAACCCCAGGGGTGGGGAGCAGGAACAGGAGACTACCTGGGCTTGACTGGCTAGCCAGCCTTGCCTAATGGGTGAGCTCCAGGTTCAATAAGGGTGCCTGTCTCAGAAATTAAAGTGGAGGGTCGGCAAGATGGCTCAGCAGGTAGAGGTACTTGCTGCGGAAGCCTGATGACCTCTGGTTCGAGACCAGAGATTACATGGTGGAAGAAGAACACTGACTGGAGAAGTTGCCCTCTGACCCCACAGATGTACCGTGGCTCAGGCACAAACACACACAAACATGTTCTATATATATATATATATATTTTTTTTTTTTTTCTTTTGGTTTTTTGAGATAGGGTTTCTCTATGTAGTTTTGGAGCCTGTCCTGGATCTCACTCTGTAGACCAGGCTGGCCTCGAACTCACAGAGATCTGCCTGGCTCTGCTTCCCGAGTGCTGGGATTAATGGTGTGCTCCACCACCACCTGGCTATAATAAATATTTTAATTAGGTTAAATAAGGTGGACAGCAATTGAGGACAACGACATACTGTACCTACCTCTGCCCCCCACATGAACACACGCACACAAGCACACATAGAAGTTTACAGACCTGTCCTGCACATCTCTAACTGAACTCAGGCCTAGAGTCTACCAGTGGCGTGGGACATGGCTCATTGGTAGAAAGGCAGTACAGAGTCAACCACTGAGGGGAAGGGGGGGCGTGGTTTGGTGGTAGAGCCCTTGTCTAGAATCCTCCAGAGAGGGGCTGCAGGTGTCTATCATTCAGTGGTAGGGAACTTGCCCGAGGTCTTTGGCGTAGGTTCCATTGCCATAAAAGGGGACTCAGAACCAATGCTCCTCCATTTTGTAATGGCTGGGAGTTGTAACTCAATCAGTGGCAGAGCACTTGCTTGGCCTTGTGTGGTCTTGAGTTCCACCCCCAGCATCAGAAATACAAAAATGAGAACCCAAGATGCATGTGACTTGGAACATAAGAGTCAACCTGCCACAGAGCTGACCCCTGACCTGCCACTAAGCAGAAGAAGCCCAGACCCCAAAGAGCTGAGTGTTTGAGTCTCTGTATGAAATGTCTAGAGCAGGCGAAGGCAGAAGGTAGATCAGAGGCTGCAAGGGGCTGTAGAGGAGGGGAGCAAGCAACTTTGAGGTAAAGAGAATATCCTGGAATTAAGAGGTGACAGTCACACAATTCTTGAGTGTACTGAGCTGTACTTTTGTTTTCTCTCTGGTGGGGGGGCTGGAACCCAGGGCTTTGGGATGGTAAGCACCCTAATACCGAACCACAGGCTAGCCCTTGACTTACGTTTTCATTATCTTGCTTTTTATTTTGTCCTTCATGTGTGTACTAGTGCATTCTGATCATTGCCCCCATCCTCTCTTGTCCTTCCCACCATCAGCTCTCTCTCCCCACTACACATCTCTGCCACGTTCACGACTTTTCATTTGTTTGTGAGCCACTGAACTTAACCAGGCCTGTCTCTGCGACCCTGGGTTTGGTGCTACCCACTGGAGTCTGGTGTGCTCACCAGAGGGTACAGTTTTCTTCATTTCTTTAGGAGACCGTGTCTCATTCTGTCCAAGTCTGGCCCGGCACTATGGAACCCTGGCCATCCTCAAACTAATGGCAATCCTCCTTCCTCAGCCTCCTGAGTTCTGGGATGACAGCCAGCACACCCCATTTACTGTTTGGCTGAGCAGTACATTCCTACTATACACAAATTACCAAACATTGGGCATTTTGCTACAGCAACAAGAGCACACGGTGACAGCGACATCATATGTGTCAAGACGTGGCTGACTTTTCCTTTTGCGGGAGAAGTGGCCACCATCTGCAGCCCCAAGCTTCTGGGCTCCGGAAAGCCTCCCTAGTCCCCCTCCAGCTCAGCACTGCAGATTCAGGCCTGAGCTGCCCAGGCAGCCCCAGCTGGTCTGGCTGAGATGCTCTCATTTCCCTTCCAGTCAGCAGCTTGAGCTAGCCTCTGACCCGCAGCGCAGCGCTCTGTCCAAGGCTCAGAGGGAGCTAAGAGAAACGCTTTTTCCCTTTTGTCCGATTTGCCTCAGCTCTCCTGCCACAGGAACACCAACTTCTAAAGGCTGAGGCGGCCTCTCTTCTTTTAATGTTTCTTTCTTTTTGGTTTGTTTGTTTGTTTGTTTTATTTTGTTCTCTTGTTGTTGTTTTTCAAGACAGGGTTTCTCTGTATAACCACCCTGGCTGTCCTGGATCTCACTCTGTAGACCAGGCTGGCCTCAAACTCAGAGACCCACCTGCCTCTGCCTCCCGAGTGCTGGCATTAAAGGTGTGCACCACCACTGCTCAGATCCTTTTATTATTTATTTTTTAATTATCTTTTTATTTACTTATTTTTATTTCTTATGCATTGGTGTTCTGCCTGCATGTGTGTCTCTGTGAGAGTGTTGGATCTCCTGGAACTGGAGTTACAGACAGTTGTGAGCTGCCATGTGGGTGCTGGGACTTAAACCTGGGTCCTCTGGAAGAGCAGCTAGTGCTCTTAAGCACTGAGCTATCTCTCCAGCCTGCCTTTTATTATTCTGTATTCATTAACTCATGGGTTTTATTGTAACATTTTCATCAACACGTGCTTTGATCACGGTCGCCTCTCAAGTCTGGCTGCGGTGGCACACAGCTGCAGCTTCTGCACTGAGGGGGCCAGAAGCTGAAGGGGATCCACAGTCCTGTAGTGAGTTCGAAGCCTGGAATACATGACACTCCGTGTCTCAAAAAGCAATGTCCCCATCACCACGCCTTCCCCCCGTTTCCCTTCCTCATGCTAAAGAGCCACGCATATGTTCTAGACATACAGGTGCGTGTAGTGCACGCGTGTGCACACACACACACACAAAGTGAGAACAAAATGAAAAAGGAAAAACTAAAACACGACTGGAAAGGCGTCAAACCCGTCCGTCCCAGGGGCCCTGGGCATGCGGCTTGTGGGCAGAGGACAGGGTCACAGTCTCACAGGCTCCGCCAGGCCACCTTTTCAGACTCAACACCCTTGCGTTGCTAGGAGTGACTCCGTGGCTGACAGTCCTTCCTCACCCTGAGCCTGAAAAGCGGGAGAGAGGGAGGAGGAATCTCCATCTGCTCTTCCTGTGACGGAGTGAGATTGTCACTGCTCACACCCACGTTTCCTCCCATCTCTTCTAGGCCAAGGGGACAAATAACACAGATCCCCGCAAATGACTTTGCTGGCTGCTCACCAGGATGTGTTAATAATGGCTCATTTGATGCCCTGGGGAGGGAAAATACTCCATGGAGATATTGGAGATAGGGGCCTCAGAGAGAGGGAGAGAGAGAGAGACAGAGAGACAGAGACAGAGAGACTGTGTGTGTATATATAATGGCCCTGTCACCCCAAAGGACATTCTAGAATGTCTTCATCTTATTGGGATCCCAACTGACCCTTCTTTCATTTATTTATGTGTTTATTATTATTTTTTTATTTATTTTTAATTTGAAATCACCCTTTAAAGTGTGGGTTCTGGGGGTTGAACTCAGAACTCAGATGGTCAGGATTGGCAGCAAGTGTCTTCACCTACTCAGTCATTTTGCTGATCCTAATTTTTTGTTTGTTTGTTTCATTTTATTTTAAACAGGGCCTTACCATGTAACCCTAACTAGCTTAGAATTACTCTTTAGAGCAGACTCGTCTTAAAGTCACAGAGCTCCCCACCTGCCTCTGCCTCTGCGTCTGGAGTGAGGAGATTTAAATGTGTGTCCCACCACACCTACCCCTCCTTTTTTTCTTCGGAGGGAACCTATTTATTTTTGGCACAGGACCTGTGTGGTCCAGACTGGCCTCCAACTACGCAGTTGAAGATGACCCTCAACTTCTGGTCCTCCTGCCTCCGCGTCTTGATTGCTGGAATCACAGGCGTGTAGCATCACATCTGGTTTATGTGGTGCAGGGATCCAACCGGGTGCTTTGTGCACGCCAGGCAAGCACGACACCAACTGAGCCACATCCCGGCCCCTCCAGTCAACCTTTCTATGTAAGTATTACTGCTCAGAGCCCCATGGAACCCATTCCCCCTGGAATGGAGGGGTTTTGTTAGAGAACATCTGGGTCCATTCAGTGAGCACCCATTCCCCCTGGAATGGAGGGGTTTTGTTAGAGAACATACGGGTCCGTTTAGTGAGCACCAAGTGTAGTCCCTGAGCTAGGTGCAAGCACTACAGCCAGTCTCCTAAAGCCTTGCCCTTCCTGGATGCACATTCTAGAAACTGAAGACAGCGAGGATGTTGACAAAGAACTCATGCTGGGGTGGTCAGCACCCCTGAGGAGCGGGGCTGCATGCTATGGACTGCACAACCGGATCCTGTCTCTGAAGAAATGAAGAAATAAAGGCTTTGTCTGAGGAGGCAGCTCGGTGTTGGCTGCCTTAGCTCAAGGAGGCTAAGTCTGGATCCCCAACACGGACATGAAAGTCAGGCCTGGTGGCATGTGTCTCTAACAGCGGCGCTGGGGAGGTGGAGACCCGAGGATCCCTAGGACTAGCGACAGCCAGTTTAACCCGACCAGGGAGCTTCAGTTCAGTGACAGACCCTGTCTGTCCCCGAAAGCAGGGTGTGGGGCTGGTGGTATGGTTCACAGGGTCATGTTACCTGCCGCCAAGTCTGACGGCTTGGGTTCAGTCCCTGGGACCCACACAGTGGCGAGAGCTGACTCCACAAAAGTACACTTTGACCTCCATTCTCACACTATGGCACATGTGTCCACACAGGCAGGCACACACACACACACACACACACACACACACACACACACACACACACAATTATACACATAAACCTAAACAAATAAGGTGAAATATAGAGGTAGACCTCTGCATACATGTACATACACATGTGTACATGAGCACATGTGCACACACATGCATACATGACATGCACACAAGAACATATCACACACCAAAACAATTTAAAAAAATAAGGACCAGCTCATTAGTGAGCACTTTCCTAGCATGTACAAAGTCTTGGCTTGCATCCCAGCTCTGCTGCTGCTGCTGCTGCTGCTGCTGGTGATGATGATGATGATGATACACTAGACAAAAGTGCACTAAACTAAGCCAATCAGTGGTGGCACTCACCTTTAATCCCAGCACTGGGGAGGCAGAGGCAGGTGGATCTCTGTGAGTTTGAGGCCAACCTGGGCTACAGAGTGAGTTCCAGGACAGCCAGGGCTACACAGGGAAAACCTATCTCAGGGAGACAAAAAAAAAAAAAAAAAAAAAAAAAAAAAAAAAAAAAAAAAAAAAAAAAAAAGCCAACTAGACTGGGCTGGTGCTGCGGCTCAGCAGGTAAAAGGCATCTGCTGGCCGGGCGGTGGTGGCGCACGCCTTTAATCCCAGCACTCGGGAGGCAGAGCCAGGCGGATCTCTGTGAGTTCGAGGTCAGCCTGGTCTCCAAAGCGAGTACCAGGAAAGGCGCAAAGCTACACAGAGAAACCCTGTCTCGAAAAACCAAAAAAAAAAAAAAAAAAAAAAAAAAAAAAAAAAAAAGGCATCTGCTGTAGGACCCTGAGTTCAGTCTCTGGGACTCACGGTAGAAAGAGAAGTGTGACTCTCGGAAGTTGTCGTCCGATCTCCACATTTCGGAGGACTGTGGCATGCCTGCACCCCTCATACAGTTATAATACGTAAATAAATAATATTTAAAGTCCATCAAACTGTCTTTCTGATTGGGGAGCTTGTGATGGAAGTGTGGGTCGTAGTGAGGATGGGTAGTAGCCCATGTAATCCCAGCATTCTGGAGGCAGGGCAAAAGGATTAGGAGTTCAAGGTCATCCTTGTCTATATAGTGAGTTCCCAGCCAGCCTGAGCTATGTCTCCAAAAAGTAAAATCCCAGGATATTGTAAATCAGGTTATTTCCACACAGCAGATATTATTGTCTTCAAGTCTGAAGTCTGGAAGTCCGAGTCCATGGTGCCAGCCTGTTTTTACAGAGACATGAGGAGTCCTTGTTCTACAGGTCCTGGGACTCTGCCTTCTACATAAGGTCACAGTCCCACTCAGGAGGTCTCTAAATGTCCTCACTGCCCACCTTGTAATGCCATGACCATGGAGGGTTAGGGGAAACTGAGAGGAAAGCAGACAGATTCAGAAGACAGGACTTCCCCTCCATCCCTTCATGTCTGCTTTCTCCCTGCCGTGGGGTAAATGTTAGCTTCCCTTCAAGATAGTCTTATATCCCAGAACCAGCGAGTGTGAGCATTTTTGGGAAAATGAGATCTTTGAAGGCATAATTAAGAATCTCCACGTGATATCTCAGTGGATTGAGATGTGCCCCAATCCACTGACAAGTGTCCCTGTGAGAGAAGAGGGTGGGAGATAAACACTCGAGACCCAGGGACAAAGGCTGAACCTGGAGCTTACAGTTCCAGCTAGACTGGCTAGGCAGCTCGGCCCCTGCAACCCTCCTGCTTCCCACTCCCCACAGCGTTGGATTACAGGCCCACGCCGCTGTGCTCAGTGCGGTGCGTCCCCACAGCGCTGGATTACAGGTCCACGCCGCTGGGCTCAGTGCGGTGCGTCCCCACAGCGCTGGATTACAGGTCCACGCCGCTGTGCTCAGTGCGGTGCGTCCCCACAGCGCTGGATTACAGGTCCACGCTGCTGGGCTCAGTGCGGTGCGTGCCGGGATCCCGCCCCCGCCCCTTGTGCAGCACCTTTGCACCCAGCCGTCTCCCCACCCTCAGTTTGAGCCACCCTAGTTTAGAGTCTGCCGTGGTGAACTGATACATTGCTCTCATTGTTTGGGTCCAAAACGTCCTCATGTTCTCATGCTCCAGCACCTGCTCCCCATCTGCTGGCAATATTTTGGGAGTCAGTAGACTCTTTAGGAGGTGGGACATAGATGGCAGAAACGGATCAATCAGAGGGTTGTCCTTTGAAGGTCAAACCTTGCTCCTGGTCCTGGTGCCTTTCTGTCTTCTGGTGTACCCTCCCACCAGCCTTCCCTGGTGGTTTGAAACTTAAACTGTGAGCCAGTAAAACAGTTTAACGCACCGGGGCGGTGGTGGCACACACCTTTAGTTCCAGCACTCAGATAGCAAAGCCAGGCAGATCTCTGAGTTGAAGGCCAGCCTGGACTATAGAGTGAGTTCCAGGACAGCTTGGGCTACACAAAAAAAACCTATCTAGCAGAAAAAAAAATTGAGGCAGGGTCTCAATGTAACCAGGCTGACTTCAAACTCACATCACCATGCAGCAGATGACCTTGAGTTTCTGATCTCCTGCTCACACCCTAAATGCTGGGTTTATAGGTAAGTACCCCTGTGTCCAGTGTATACAGTGCTGAGGATGGAACCCAGGGCCTGAGCATCCTAGGCAAGCATTTTGCCGACTAAGTCATATCTCCAGCCTCCAGAAGTAATCTCTCTTCCTTTAAGTTGTCTCTCTCAGAAATTCTGTCACAGCAATGCACAGCTGACCAGTAAGGGGTTGGTGGGATGGCTCAGCAGATAAAGGCCTGAGGACCTGAGTTTGATCCCTGGATCCCACATGGTGGAAGGAGAGAACCGACTCCTGCAGTTGTCCTCTGCACACACACACACACACACACACACACACACACACACACACACACACTCACACATTGTTGTCTGAATGCAGACACACACAAAAAAGTAAGCATCATATTTGTTTAAATGACCAGTACAACCTCCTCCTCCAGCAGAGTCCTCAAGAGTCATAGGGGTCTTGAGCTGTTCTCCCATCCTGCCTCTGTCCATCCTTCTCCATCAAGCTTCTGTCCCCCTTGGCCATCTCGAGGGATCCACTTTGCTCAACCAGATGGCAGTTTCTTAGTGGACAGGGCCTGTATCTTTTGACTTCCCTCCACAGCTACTCTGCACCTACAGGACAGGTTCCAGGAGAGGGGCACCAAAGGCTAGGAAGCTTCTAATCGCCTCAGTAGAAGGCAAGGGCTCTCTTGAGCCTTGGGAGCACTTCGACTTTGGATTCCCAACTCCAGAACCAGAGATGATGAACCGCTGTGCAAAGATCCGATGCATTTGGGTTTCCCCAAAGTAAGGCCTGAGACTTTGATTGGAGCAGAGGGATGGGTTCCCTGCGAGGTGAACTCTGAAGCACTGATGGGAAAGGGGGAGGGGCTATGAGAGCCTCTGCTTTCCGGTTTCTGTTGCTGTGAGTAAACACTGTGACCACAGCAACTTGGGGAGAAGCAGGTGTTCATTTTACATTTCTCAGGCAGTAGTCCATCACTGAGGGATGTCAAGGCAGGAACTGAAGCACGCCAGGATCTAGGAAGCAGGAAGTGATACAGAGACCGTGAAGGAATGTGGCTTACTGGCTTGCTCCCCATGGCTTGCTCAGCCTGCTTTCTTACAGCACCCAGGACCACCAGCACAGGGGTGGCACTGCCCACAGTCGGCTGGGTCCTCCCCCGTCAATCATCCACCAAGAAAAAGTACCACAGGCGCTCCCACAGGCAAATCTGGTGGGGACATTTTCTCAGTTAAGGTTCCCTCTTCCAAAATAACTCTGGCTTGTGTCAAGTTGCCCGCACAGTCTCCCAGAGGCCCATGTGTCGAAGGCCAGGCTCTCGGTGCAGCAGGCTTCCACAGATGGATCCTCTGCAAGGAGTCAGTTCTCCTGCGGGACGGAGGTCTTGAAGGCCACTGGCGCCTCTAGGACAACGTTGATATTCTCTCATGCAGAGCATGAGCGAGTGGGGTCCCTGCCATCTGACTCCTAGCCTGCTTGGGTTGATGTATGCCAACAGGGAGAAGGAATTCTCTAGAAGTCTTGGCATTCCCTGTGCAAGCACCTCCCCTTGAGTCTGGCTAGAACTCTGAGATCTGCCAAGGGAATGTGGAAAACATGGTGGGATGTCACTGCTGAAGTTAGGTTATAAAAAGAGACTCTCTTTCTCTCTCTCTCTCCACACACACACACACACACACACACACACACACACACGCACACGCACACGCACACGCACACGCACGCACATGCACCCTCTCTCAATCTTGCTCTTTTACTCTTCCTCAGAATCTCACTACATAGCCCAGGTTAGCCTCAAACCCCGGCAAACCTCCTGCCTCCACTTCCTGGGTGCTGATATTCTAATCCAGCACCACCTACACCTGGCTGCCATCTTTTCTGTTTTAATTGCAATGTGTCCATGGCTATTTGGACTTTGGTTTAATTTTCATTTTATTTATTTGTTTTTTAGATTTACTTGTTTGATTGTATGTGTTGAGTGTTTTGCACGCATATGCACTAGATTCATGCCTGGTGCCAGCGGAGATAAGAAGAGGGAATCAAATCCCTCTCAGAACTAGAGTTACAGATGATTGTGAGCTGCCATGTGGGTGCAAGGAATTGAGCCTGGGTTCTCTACAAGGACAGCAAGAGCTCTTAACTGCTGAGCCATCTCTCCAGCCTTGTTTAATTTTAAATTCACAAAGTAAAACAGCGTGTGTATTTATAGTGTGCCCCGTGGGGTTTTGGGACATGTGTACACTGTAGAGCATCTAAATGGAGCTAACTACCATGATCTTTCAACTTTGCCTCAGAGCAAAGGCAGTATGAGGTCGGTCAACAGAAGCTTCAGCGTGATGTTTGAGTTTTCATCTTTCCCAGCTGAGGGACGTGTGGTCCAATGCTCTTCTCAGTGCTGAGCAGTGTGGGCCGTCAGACCCCCAGGCAGTGGCAGGAGGCAATGAGAGTGCTGATGTCGCCAGTGCACTGTGTTGCTGAGCCAGGACGTTGGGTGGCTAGGTGTATTAAACACATCTAATTATTGTTAAACTCGGGGCTGGGGAGAAGCTCGTGAAGTGCTTTTCTTGCAGCTGTGAGGACCCAGCTGGATCACTAGAACCCACATTAGAAAAGTCAGGAGTGTTGGCCTGTCTGTAGTCCCAGCAGTGGGGAAGCTGGGACAGGGGCATCTCTGGGGCTGACTGGCTGGCTAGTCTCCTGAACTGGTGAACTCTAGGGTCAGTGAGAAACCCTGTCTCAAAAAAAAACAAGGTGGGACTCTGAGGAAGGATCTCAGAGTTTGACCCCATGCACTTGCGCACACATATACATCATGTGCACTCAAGTGAACATGCACTCACATGCACATACACACCAAATAAATAAGGACTGAGTGGCTTGTAATGTGTTGCACCTACAACAGGTTAGCAGGACATTGCCCACTGTAAGTTGGAGAACATCTGTATCTCATTTATCCCCCGTTTCCCTCTAGTTTTTATTAA